CCACGTCTTTCTCCCTTTTATTTACCAGCTTATGATGGTTAGATTAGGGCATGTTTCAATTAGCATACAGTATGATAGCATGTTTGTATCCATTCATCTGTTTTGCATGCACCAGGCTCGGAGCATCATACTAACTGCATTGTACTTCAAGTCCGAGTTGAATACATGTTAGCTGTAGCGTCATCATATGCCATCTTAGAATAGTCGAGCCTATTGTAGTCATATTTTTGCATGTGTTGCATTAGGCATTTCTGTATAGTTAGGGTCATGCATGGATTTCTAACATAGCTTCTGTTTTGGCTTGGAGTACTCGGTAAGTATTTATGCTTTAGCATCCTTGCATGTGTGTGAGTGACTGCCATGATAGCATGCTTACCATGAGGCTAACTGCTTATGTGATATATCTGCCTTAATGCCTGTGGGTGAAGGTTAGATTATCTGAATTGGAAAAATGCATTGACTGTGAGTTTTAAGCCCACTAGATAGTGGCAAAATCATGTTTTTCTAAGCCCACCCGAGGGTGGAAAAATCTGCATTTTAAGCCTACTTGCGAGTAGCAAACCATTTTCAAATAAACAAGCATGAAATGTTTTGTTCCAATTCAGGCGATCCAGTTTATACTTATATGCTGTGTGCATCACATAGTGAATCTAGGTTAATAACCGGAATAAGAACGCATAATGTTTTCAAAACTAGATATCATGGTTAGTAGAGGCCGATCTTTGATCGGGCGAGCGAGGGTGCTCACGAAGTGACCTTCCCCAATCGTACCCAAGTTCCCGAGCCAAGGCAACTTTGGTGATGACGGACACGTGGCCTTAGGCAATGAGTCAGGGTTTCCTAAATTCTCTCAAAAAAAATATTTAGGTGGCGACTCTGTATCTGGCAAAGCAGTCCACGTTTGGCACTTCTTTAAAAAAAAATCTGTTTTCAAAAATGATTTGCCAGATTTGGACTCTTTGATGATTCATTGGTCTTGCATTGCACTCCGCGAGATTAGATACAGGACCGTGAATTTTGAGTCCTGAACTGTAGTGAGCCCAATGAACAGAATGGGACTCATCCTCCTGGGGCGTTCGGGGACGTCCACAGTTTCTGGCGACTCTGCTGGGGATTTAGAGAACTTGACTCGAACTCATGATATCTTGTTTTGACTACACTTATGTGTTTCTTTGCATTGCATTTGCATTGGTGTGCCTAGGACACCGTGTTTGCCATCTGCTATTCTTGAGCGGTTTGCCAAAGGCTGCGTGCCATAAGGCTTACCGGTTACAGGCTCTGCCAGTATGGGAAACAAACCCCGGTTTTACCGGGGCACCCTTTTGACCATTCGACCTAGTGCATATTCGGAATCCATAGTGACCATTCCAAACTAGGACAGGTTGCTTACCCGATCGTAGGTTGTTTGAAACCGCTGCGTACGTAGTGAAACCCTAGCTCCTGACAAAATAGGACAGGGAAACCCTACCCCAACATAGGGGTGTTTTGGCTCTCACTTGTTTGTTATGTGCTTTTAGAGTGCGTCTCTATACGAATGCATGTATCAGTTCACAAGTTTGGGGATCAGGCCTGTGGGCGCCAGTTCAGTATTTTGGGTATCAAGCCTATGGGCACCAGTTCAGTATTTTTCGGAATCAATTATCTGCGGGTATCAGATTCAGCTTCAGGGATAGTGATTTGGGAATAATGATCAGTCTTTGAGAACGATGTATCAATTGCGTGTTAATTATACCCGACTATGTGTTGTGTTTATTTACGCCGTTATGCTATCCGTTTGTCTGCTCGTTTATTTCCTTATTATTGCTTTATTTATCTTTTTGCTAAGTAGTTTAGCACAATTGCTTCAGACCAAGCAGATATTCCCCGAGCACTCTGGACAAGAGGCCGCCGACTCAATCGATCCGAGGATCTGGTCGACGGACAACCAGTGTATCATTCCCTACCCCCGGTTATCAGACAGAGGTCGAGAAGACGCAGTGTATCTGAGCAGAGGTTGCCAGAGCAGTGGATTACCCCATCAGTGGACAGTCGGATTGAGATCCCAATTGTTGCTATAGAGATAGACCGGCCAGTAGTTCAGACAGATCAGGGCAGTATGGCGGGACCGACAGGAGTTGAGGAAATGATGCGTCAGATGCAGGACACCATGAGAGCCATGCAGCAGGATGCTGTTCGCCGAGATCATGGCCCAGCAGGCAGAGTTAATTGCCAGATTGCAACAACAAAGCGGGCATCATCTTCATACCCAGTTCCTCCCCTACCAAGAGTCCCGGCACCCGGGGAGGCACCAAATGTCTAAGCAGATATAGACATACCAACGGGGCCAGCTCTGCCCCCAATTCTGCCCCAGCTATCTAAGGTACCTACGCCTGTCAATCAACCGGACTCTCCCTTCGAGTTCGAGGTAGACCATACAGCACTGAAATTGAGCAAGCTTGAGAAGTTGTTCAAGAAATCCCAAGGGGTAAAGGCTATCCCGGATATTGAAGACGGATATACCGACGTGGCTGTGACGCTGCCGGATAGGTTTAAAATGCCACAAATTGATCGCTTCGACAGATCTAGGGACCCCATGGTGCATCTCCGGCTATTCTTAGATATACTACGGCCAATGGGCCTCACCAGACCACAAAAGCTTTCACTATTCGGCCGGCCCTGTCGGGTGTGGCCGCTATCTGGTATGCGAAGTTAGAGGATGATGTCAAGCGGAGTTGGGATGAAATGGCCGAGGCCTTCGTCGCGCAATACTCTTACAATACCCAAATCGAGATTACGACTCGAGATCTCGAAATAACAAGGCAGGAGCCTAAGGAGAGCTTCTCAGATTTTGTAACTCGGTGGAGGGCGAAGGCTTCAATGATGACCCTGAGGCCTACCGACAAAGACCAAATCAGGATGATTGTGCACAATCTCTAGCCAAAACTGATGCAAAAAATGATTGTGCTCCCCTTCCCCACCTTTTCAGATCTACATGAAATTGGGGTACAAATCGAAGATGCAATGAAACAGGGTCTGATTGACCAAGATAGAGAGCAGCCCAAAAGAACCTTTAACCGCAACAACAATGCAGGCCCAAGTGGCGCAGCAACTGCAAGAGCTTCGGAGGTAAGCATGGTCACCACCATTCCCCCTCCCCCTCCCCTTCCAAGACCCATGGCAGCCACACCTTTCTCCGGTCCATCCGAAAGCAATACACAGACCACCAAATACCAATCCAAAGGCCAAAGAACCTTCACCCCATTGTATATGCCCCTGTCCAAGGCTCTAGGGGTGTTAATCAGGAAAGGGCATCTAAAACCCCTGGAGTCGAGGCCATTACCAAACCTACTCCCCCCTCTTTCACAACACAGCCAAATACTGTGCATATCACCAACAACATGGTCATGACACTGACCAATGTTTCCGGCTGCATCATGAGATTCAAGATCTCATTGACAAACAGGTGATCCTGCCTCCAGAAGAACCCAACGTCACAACTAACCCGCTCCCTACACACAACCAAGCTCCACCTCCCAAAAGAGTCAACTTTATCCAGACTGGGGTCGTGCCTTACGATCCTAGCATCTATATCACTCATTCCCACCTACCTAAGCCGGAGGTGCTCATTCCTGACTACACTGACTCTTTGTGCATGTTGGACATCTCCATAACCCAACCCGAGCCAATGGTGGTGACTGGCAAAGACAGAACAAAGGAGATTTCAGAGGAGGATGGAATTGTTCAATCAGGGTTTGAGCAGTCTAGGAGTGTCGCTGGGGAAGCCTACGATCCGAGTGATTACATTTTGCCAGCAGGCCAGTTTGAGCCTAATATTGAATTGCCAGAGAAGGCAGAACTGTGTGTGATCCAAGGGGATGGATTTGGGCAGGGGACAGATGGTTTGACGGCTGTGAAAGAGGACTTGGCCAACCTCCAGTTTTTTGACGACCAAGATCCAGGAGGCGCGGCAGTCAACTGGTTTGATTATGAGGAATCGACAGAGGCTACTGGGTGGCTTGATGACCTACCAGACGTCGTCGAAGAATCTCAGTTGGAACAGGGCCCGACAGGGGCAAGAATATCAATTGTGGCCGAAAGGGCCAGAAATCAGAATGAATTACCGGAGAGCGCCGGTACTAAAAATTTCGCTCAAGATTTGAGCATTGTGAATGCAAGGAAAGCTGAACAACAGACTACACCGACACAGGTGGAACAAAAAGGGTTTTGGGATTCTGAGATAACCAGGAAAGCTAAAGCCCATGAGGGGACTGAAAGTGCTGTGGGCACAAGGACAGAAGAGGCTGCGAGCATCACTACAACAAAATGGTACTTTAATGACAAAATCACTTCGTCTCCAATAGTGAAATTTTCGTCACCAAATTGATCCGTGACGAAATAATTTCGTCACCAATTCGTCGTCACTAAAAGTACCCGGTGACGAAAATTTATTTTGTCACCTATTATTGGCATTTGGTGACGAAATATTTCGTCACTAAATATTAAATATTTTGTCACCTATAACATCCATTTCGTCACCAAAATTAAATAAAATTTTATTTTATTTATTTTGAGTGACAAAATATTTCGTCATTAAAAATAGTGATAAAATTTTTAGTGACGAAAATATCGTCACCAAAAGATGGAAAAAAAAGACCTTTCAGTGACGAAAACTTTTTGTCAAGAAATATTTTAATTTAGTGATGAAATAGTGAATGTGTGACAAAATTATTTGTTGGGATTAGAAAGTTTTAGTGTCAATTTTTTTCGTCACCAATAATAAATAATTTTTAAAAATTGAGGGGAGGGTTATATTTGCAATTTATATATTTTTTTCAATAAACAATACCTGTACATTTTAATAATCTATTAAATAAAATATTTAATACAAATCAATATAAAATTAACCTGTTCATTATCATAAAACAACCCAAGCAAAATACATGTCTCATAGTATCAAGAAATTAATATATAACATCCAAATTATAACATCTATTTTAGTAAAATCAAAAACTACAACACAATCAAAATAACTTGTGCATTTTAATAACCTGCTGAATATAATATCCATTACAAATCATTACAAAAACCTGTTCATTTGGTAATATCAACAAAAACCTGTTCATTTTAATCTATTCAATAAAATATCAACAAAAAGATAAGATCCATCATAATATAATCATAACCCACAACAACATAGTCAAAATACATGTTTGGTAATATCAACAAAAAGTACAACTACACTGTGATGGATGTCTGGTAATATCAACAAAAAACTCTTGCTATGCAGGTTACCAAATTCGTTCATCTCCAATCTGCCATTTAAAAAAGAAAAAATAAAAAGAAAAGACAACAACAACAAAAGGTTAAGGTAACCATTCACTAAATATGTTAATATGCAACCTATAAGAGAAAAAATAAAAATTTCAAAGTAAATTTTAAACCAAATTTTTATCGTACTTGTTCCGTAAATTTTTACAACTTACATTAGTTCCTCCCAAGGTGTTCATGATATTTCTTGGCCTTTTAACGACTATTTCAAGATTTTACTCCCTAACGGCCTATGTTCAAGCCTAAATGTTTTCCAACCGAGAGTCCTATGATTGTTCTGTAAGTTTTCACAACTTATGTTGATTCCTCCCAAAGTGTTCATGATAATTTCTGATAATCTCAAGGTGTTTGTGATGTTTTTCGGGCCTTTAGATGCATACTTCACTATTTTCCCGAGACCTTGTGCCTAAATGTCAAAAGTAGCTTTTTATTCTACCCTACTTAAAGAAGAAATGTTCTACTAAATTAACATATAAACATAATATACTAACCAAGAAGCTTGTTCATCAGAATCTGAACTTTCCCCACTCTCAAAATTTCCCGTGATACCTTTCTGCATCAAACACTCTATGATACTTTGTATCTTCTTGCTTTGTTTCTTCTCTTACTTTTGAAACCATGCAATTTGTTCATTTTTCTGTGCTATTTGCATCTCAAGGCGTTGAACATAGTCACTATTTTCAGCAGGTGCAACAGTAGTCTTCATAGAAGAAGAAGGCCTCAAGCCGAGTCCTTTCACATAACCTGACCTTGGCTTAAGCACCTTAACTGACAACTCCTCTTAGCTTAAAGGGATCACACCAGTCTTCGAGAGGTGTTCGGCTTGCGTCTTTATCATGTTGTCCTGTTAATTTAAAATAAATCGAACAATTATTAGTTATTCTACCCTACAAGGCAAATAAATAATTTTTATCAAAATTAATATGCATTGCCTTGTACATACATAATTAGCTTGGCTCTCCGACGAAATCCATTCATGTGTGTTCGAATTATAGTGGATGGACTTGTAAAACTTTGGCAAATCAGGAACTTCTCCATTTGCAATTATCTGATTCATTTGTTTTTTAATGTTATTTCAAATATTTAAATAACAAAGCCTACTAATCTGATAAAATAAAATAGCAGAACACACCGAGTTGTGCACCCTAACCGGGATTGATTTTGATCCACATCTATGTTTTGTTTTCATTTGCATCCTATTATTCACATTAGTTAGTGATTGTTCCTACACGATTGAAACACCAATATAAACAACAAAACTTAACATTAGTAAGAAGAAAATAAATTTTTGACAATTAACATAAAACATTATACCATGAATTCTTTACTATTCCACTTCTTGTCAATTAGAGATGTCCATTGATTAAGAGTAACACTTGTAGGTGGGTGGCTTCTCGCGTACTCCTCCCCTCTTGCATCCTTAAGTTGCTTGTATTGTTTGTGCAACCTATAGGTGAAGCTACTCAATCGCCGACCAAACTGTGTGTTTAAAGTCCTTGCTACATCACTCGGATTGCCTTGTAGATCAAACTGATCCTACAAAATCAAATCATTTTTTTTATAAGTTAAATAACCTAAATTTCAGACAAGCAGCAATGAGCCTGATTAAATAACAAAGAAAAAAAATTGCATCAACAGATGTGTTAACAGTTGCAATTTAATTTCTAGATATGCAGGCATTATATATTGTAACAGTTGCAACAGATGGGTTAACAGAGGAATATGTGGCTCTCGAAGAATAAGATGATTATCTTCATAACTGAATGAGCTGTTTGTTAGTCATATAAGCTCTGAGTTGTATACTTGCTGTTGAGAGTCAGCCAGATTGTGTACGCTGCAAATTTAGTATTACTCCTGTGGAGGTTTAGGCAATGGAGTTATGATTTTAATTGCTAATAGCAAATACACTCAAATTGTAATAGATGATAAAAATTCCCAGTTGTAAATACTTGTGATCTAGACATATGCATCAAATATAAATTGGAGGGGATAACATTTATCCTCTTATAAACTTGAGACAATGCTAAATTTCTGCAATCTTGATTATGGAGCAGTAGCTCCTTTGGACAATGCTTTGATCACATGTCTGTTGTAAAGGTGTGAAGCGGAATTTTCTTTACCAATCCAAGACCAAACTGAATCAATAAGTGAACTGGATAAATTCCATAAAAGAAATACTTTGTACGAGTGTCCTACCTAATTCAATAATGTCAGTAAGCACTCAAAACAATGCCATATTGCATTTATTTTTTCAGGGTTCACTATACTTTGAGAAAACACTTCCTCTAATCAATTTGTTGGATGCTGCCACTGCTCATATGCTTAAAATTCCCAGAGAGCAATTTTCTCATTTAAAAAAATAATATCAATCTTGGTAAAATGCAGCAGTCTTATCAGTTGACAGAAAATGAGGTTGCCTACTACATCACACAACTCATCAAGTGAAAAATGGCCCATCAAACATGCTAGAGTTACTGCCCCTGTTTTAGCTAATTCATCTGTTTCTGAATTGGACAATTCAGGCACCCGTGATTCAGCTAACCAAGGATTAAATCAAAAAGTTGGTTAAGATTAAATCACTAATATTTACTATCAATGCCACATCCAGTACAACTAGAAAATATTTACTAGTGTGAAAGCAAGTATGGAAACTGATAATAGATAACAGTACAATCAATATAATGACCTCCATCTATTCATAGCTATTGTTTCCATGATTTAATTAGTACTAGCAAGAATACTTCCCTATTTATTTGTTGGCATCACTAGTTATATTAGTGTTTACTAATATATGCATCACTAGTTAAATTTTTAGATTTTCTATTGTGTTTTCACTGCGCAAGGATACAAACTAAATACATAGTTATAGTTGCATTCTTACTAATCGTTAAATTCATTCCAAAACTAGAAGTCTTTGATATGCTACCATGTAATATCTTGTTTAGCAGCAAGTTCTTGTATTCACCCTAACAAAGAGAGTATTTCTTTCACACAATAATTACCATGTAATTTCAATTTCAATTTCAATTTTCATGTGTCATGCCTCTTTTACTTGACAATAATTACATCCAAGTGTTGGATCATCGGCTTCTTATCAGCATCGTGAACCTTATTCCACCTACAAATGCTCAAGTCTGGTAATTGCGTTCGAACCTCTATGCCAATCTTGGAGGCCAACTTAGAGGCTTGATCTCCCACTGGCGCACGGAAATGTTCAGGTACAGGAACCAACATCTTTTCATTTTTCTGGACAATGCGTTGGGTTTGTATGCCGCGTGTTGGACCACGACCACGTCTGTCATGTGATGCTGTAAGGACATAATGTTAATTGAGTTAATAAGTAAACAAACGCAAGTTAGACCTTAAATTAAATATAAACAACTTTGCAAACTTACCAACACTACTAGATGCAGTCACCTCATGCACAAGTTGCACATTATGAGGTGGTAAGGGTTGGGTACCAATCTCTTGACGTGGGGGATCCATCCCTTCTTCTGGGGTGGGAGTTAATGGCCTCGAATAAGGCAGTAAACGTAACCCCGGTGGCATCTCTTGTTCCTGAAATAACATAATTGAATAGTAAAGAAGATATTTAACACAGTTAAAATATATTTTAAAAAAGATATGATGTTTAAGATATATGAAGAAGATATTTAAATAGTAAAAGATACGTTCACACACAAATATAAAATAATGTATATAATACCTTGCGATAAAAGGAACCCAATGACTCATTATCACTATCGTTCTCACTCTCTGACGGATTATACTCATCATCATCATAGCAAAAATGAGGAATTAGGATGTGGGTTCACGGGTGCATATGGCAATTGTATCCAAGCATGACGACCTCAAACTGTTTGTGTACTAGAGCAAGAGAGTCTTTAATTTTCAATGACCATATATCAAACAAAAGGGAAACACAAGTGATTAACAAACAGTTTGAGGCTTGAAACACAAGTCTTTCCGTCAAATCCATCGAAGCACCCATAATCATAACCCCAATATCCTATAAATTAAATTGTAATTAACAACCAAAATCACCCACAGCCTCAGATATCAGTAGAGATAACCTCTAAAGTAAATAAATTTGCAAAAAAATTAATGACATTCCAACTAAACCCTAATGCCAGAAGGGATCAAATCAAAACTAACACATAAAATAAAGCAAAATTTCATTTTCTTTTTACATCGAATTGATCAAAACACTCATAAAATTTCCATTTTGAGTAAATTAAAAAGTAATCAACAAGCAAAATCACCCACAGCCTTTAAGCATTGAGAGAGAGAGAGAGAGAGAGAGACTAACAACGGTGTTCTTCAATCTGCACAGCAGCGGCGGTGAGGAAAGGAGGGGCTAACGGCGGCGGTGGTGAGGGCTGTCGGTGGTGAGGGCTATCGGAAATGGTAGAGCGGCGGTGGGTTGATCCAATGTGAGCAGCGACTGTGAGGGCCCTGTGTAGTATAACGTCTGTGTGTGTGTGTGTGTGTGTGTGTGTGTGTGTGTGTGAGAAATAGGTTTGAACCGAGAAATGATTGTGTGATTGAGAAGAGGAACCGATTGTAACAAAACATTTTTATTTCCCCCTAAAATATTTAGTGACCAAATTATATTTTGGTGGCAAAATTATTTTTTCACCAAAAATAAAAATATTGGCCACAAAAATAGTTTTGTCACTAAATGATATTAAAATATCCCCAAATTATTGGTGACAAAAATATATTTGTCATTAATAATTTTATAATTTGTGACAAATTTTTTCGTCACCAAAAGTCTATTAATTTTGGCGCCCTCCGAAAATATTAGTGGGAAAATATTTGGTGACAAAAAAAATATAAATAATGACGAAATATAATTTCGTCACCTATTTTTTTTATTATGATTTAGATTGGTGACGAAATTTTATTTTTGTCTCTAAAAATGATACATTTGGAGACGAAATATGATTTTCGTCAGTAAAAGATACATATTGTGTGACAAAAAAATATTTCGTCATTAATTTTCGTCTCTAAAGACTATTTTTGTTGTAGTGATGTGGGCTGAAGGTACTGCAAGTATAATCATACCGGAGCCGGACAGGTGTTTGTCGGCTGTCGATGGAATGTGGTGGGAGGACGATGATTTATGTCTTGCCCACACGGATGAGGATTGGGGGAGCAATCAGCCAGATGATACCTGGTATATCGACGAAGTCGATCATATGATGAAAAGCGGGCGGTATTTCAAGCCCCCGCACCTAGACCAGCCAGAGGCATCTGGGAAGGATAAGGAAGCTGAGAAACAAAAAGAGAAGCAAATCGAGGAAGAGGCTGTACTGAGGTAGTTAAAGAAGATACAAGCAGACATCTCCATCTGGGGACTGCTTATGGCATCACGAGTACACAGACAGGCTGTCTTATCGACCATGGACAAGGCCAAGCTCTTTATAGACACCATGCCCGAACAGCTGGTGGGCTTAGTTTTTCCGGGAGGAGCTACCCCGATGTTGACTTTCTCTGAAAAAGAACTACCACCTGAGGGTGCGAACCATAACAAGCCACTCTACATCTCCGTGGAGTGCAGAAACAAATGGATACCCGTGGTGCTTGTCGATACAGGGTCTGCAATCAATGTGTGCCCAGCAAGGACTGCATATGCAATCGGTTTAAAGACCGCAGATTTTGTGCCGACAGCCCAGGTGATTCGGGCATATAACAACACAAGCCGAGAAGTCATGGGAACAGTGAAAATCCCGACCAAGGTTGGACCGGGGCAGCATGAAATTGACTTTCACGTCTTAGAAGTTCCGACAACTTTCAATATGCTCTTGGGGCGGCCGTGGCTGCACTAGGTGAAAGCAGTGTCATCCACCTTGCATCAAATGGTGAAATACCCCCACGGAAAGGGAGTAGCCATTGTCTTCGGGAATTCATCAATCCATCCACCACCGGAAGTGTCTACGCTAGTTTTGAAAATTGAGCACGGTATGGAGGATGTGTTCTTATCCGGTTTTACCCTAGCTGAGGCTTGGGTCGTGCAGAACATCTTAGCTGTTAATGAGGGGGTGTATGTCAGTGCTCAATCAGTATACCTCATGAACAAGCTTCAACACATCCCCGAGATGGGATTAGGAAAGAGCGGCCAGAAGGGCATCGCAGCATTGGCCGAGGTGCCACACCACCCACATACCTTTGGCTTGGGTTATCTGCCCACCAAAGAGGATTGGATAAGGAAGGGTAAGGAGATGGCTGGGAGAGCCAGAGTGAAGAAGGCAGGGAAGCCATTTGACTTAATGCACCGGCCCATTCGGGGTACCCTAAACGGACGCTTCGTCCGGGAGGGGGAGGACTTTTCGTTTTGTGGCTTCCCAGAGCCGTGGCTGAACGCGGAGAGGAAGCGCGTGTCGGGGTTTGAGATCTTTTTTGATCTGCAGTTATCCGGGGATGAAGTTGCCAAAGAGCAGACGGACCCATTGGCTAAGACTGAGCAGAGTAAGAAAGTGCAGTCTGAGGACGCTGAAAATGAAATGGGGGTAGCGCTGGCATGTCTACTTTCAGATCCTCCGATCGAACAGAAGTTCTTGGGGGATAACTTCTCGGTATGCATGATCGGGAATGGAATGGCGGCGGGCCTATGTAGACACCCCATTTTTGACCGACCTTAAGACTCAGACATCACTAATTGAGCGCTTGGTGATATTGCATGATGTGCTCGTTCAGAAGTTTCAGAGTTGCGGCCGTGAGCCCTGCCTCCGGACTTCCGAACCCTCTTTTGTACTTTGCCTCGGTTTGCGAACCAGGCTCGGTTTTCTTTGTTTCTTTTCCTGAGGGAAGGGAGAGGTCCCGTAGACCATCTCTCAGTGGCCGTAGGCTACATTTTGTGGCCACAGGCCATTTTGCCCATTTCGGAGTCCGGTTTCCGGTTTTTCGGGACCGTTGGCCGTGTGCCTCGGTTCGGGACCGCCTAACCATCTCCGTTTGCTCTCATTTTTGGCATACTTCCTATTTTCTCCCTTTCAAGGGACACTAGGGTTCGAGAAACCCACTTCGTGGCCAAACGCCACTTTCGGTGCTTAACAGGCAGTTTCCGAGGCCCCAAACTGCGCGTTTTGGTCCCCGAGCATTCATTTTGCAACGGTTTTCGTTCATTTTTGGCAAGTACCTCTGTTTTATCACCGGGGAGGTCACTGACGGGTGGGAGGCCAGCAATTGTTGCAGCAACCAGTTATACATCCTCCGACGCCCTCCGGCGCCCGTTTTTCACACTTCCGGGCTAATGTTGAACACCTTGGGGCCATTTTCTCGAACTTTGAACCACATATTTGTGATGTACACACATCCAGTAATTGTAAAATTACTTTTTTACCCCTCTCTTCTTGGCCAATGTTGAACACCCTGGGGTTAGTGTTGTCAATTTTCAACCACATATTTGTGATCTACACACCTGGGAGGACCCTAAAAACCCATGGCCGGCCAGTAATTGTAAAATTACTTTTTTACCCCTCTCTTCTTGGCCAATGTTGAACACCCTGGGGTTAGTGTTGTCAATTTTCAACCACATATTTGTGATCTACACACCTGGGAGGACCCTAAAAACCCATGGCCGGCCAGTAATTGTAAAATTACTTTTTTACCCCTCTCTTCTTGGCCAATGTTGAACACCCTGGGGTTAGTGTTGTCAATTTTCAACCACATATTTGTGATCTACACACCTGGGAGGACCCTAAAAACCCATGGCCGGCCAGTAATTGTAAAATTACTTTTTTACCCCTCTCTTCTTGGCCAATGTTGAACACCCTGGGGTTAGTGTTGTCAATTTTCAACCACATATTTGTGATCTACACACCTGGGAGGACCCTAAAAACCCATGGCCGGCCAGTAATTGTAAAATTACTTTTTTACCCCTCTCTTCTTGGCCAATGTTGAACACCCTGGGGTTAGTGTTGTCAATTTTCAACCACATATTTGTGATCTACACACCTGGGAGGACCCTAAAAACCCATGGCCGGCCAGTAATTGTAAAATTACTTTTTTACCCCTCTCTTCTTGGCCAATGTTGAACACCCTGGGGTTAGTGTTGCCAATTTTCAACCACATATTTGTGATCTACACACCTGGGAGGACCCTAAAAACCCATGGCCGGCCAGTAATTGTAAAATTACTTTTTTACCCCTCTCTTCTGGGCCAATGTTGAACACCCTGGGGTTAGTGTTGCCAATTTTCAACCACATATTTGTGATCTACACACTTGGGAGGATCCTAAAAGTTTATGGCCGGCCATTAATTTTTCTTTCCATTTTTGCCCCTCCTCTTCCGGGCCAATGTTGAACACCCTGGGGTTAGTGTTGCCAATTTTCAACCACATATTTGTGATCTACACACTTGGGAGGATCCTAAAAGTTTATGGCCGGCCATTAATGTTTCTTTCCATTTTTGCCCCTCCTCTTCTGGGCCAATGTTGAACACCCTGGAGTCACTGTTGCCAACCCTAAACCACATATATGTGATCTACACACATGGGAGGACACCAAAAGTTGGTGGGAGGCCAGTAATTTTGCCGAAAAGCCAACTTCTTTTTGGTCAA